TTTTATGATTATTTGCTAAAATTACTGGTTTTATCAATGAAGTCTTGTTGGCCATAGCGCTCATTGTTTTGATCTGAGGTGCTCCAGTGCGACATCTAGTGGCAGTGAATGTTATATATATAACCTTTAATTCTTATTATTTTGATATTGGTCAATGACAAAACTAATTCCCTGCTGATGACATATTCTCTTTAATGGTCACATTTTCTGTTTCTTGTTTGAATTAAATGTTTAAATTGGTTTCTATTGGTTGCTTCATGTTTTGTAACTATAACAATTTACCATCATCAATAACAATGAGCTAATTTTATGAGACATTTGTTTATAGCTGAAAAGAACATTTGTTTCTGGTTAGAATATTAAAACAGAAATTAAAACCCTGGTCTCCCCCCGCAGCATCATATTTTATATTATAATCACGTTTTGTTTATAAAATCAGATAAATGTAACAGAGTCAAAGAATCAAATCAATACAAAACCTCATAAACATTTCAGTCATTTTAGTGTCACTGACGGAGAGCAGCAGGTTCACAGAGACCTCGTCCTCCTCGGTGATAATGAGTGAAAATCAGCAGATAACTGAGTCTTTGCTCTCAACAATCTGCACCAGGATCAGTTCATCAATCAACCAATCAATCAATCAGTATCAGACTAATAGTTAAAAGCTGTGAGAGATTTATTGATCAGTGCGGAGCCCCACAGCCTCCTCCTTCCTGTCAACTTCAAAACCAGAAGACCATTAACTGTGAGTCATCCTGTGTGTGTGTGTGTGTGTGTGTGTGTGACTGTGTGTGTGAGAGAGAGAGGATGCTGGGTAATCTCATTACCTGGGTGGTCTCCACCCTGTGATTGGTGGCTATTATATTATTACGCTAACACACACACACACACACATTACCACATGATGACTCAACCTGACCGCCCCCTCAACTCTGCTCTGTGTGTGTGTGTGTGTGTGTGTGTGTTGTTGTTGCTGTATGTACATGTTCTGTATATGTCCTGAAAGTAACAATATAGCTACATGTGAAAAAGTAATGGTCAACCTGCAGGAATTCATATGCTTGGCAACATTGTGTAACCTAGAAATAATGTGCAGATTTGTAGTAGGATTTCAGTCGACCAAGATTTTCTTTGGTTGACTACAGCCCTAGTAAACAATATCTTCTCCTCATCTCAAAATGCTATTATGTATAAATTCTGTGTCTGCACCTTCAGCTTCCAGCAGCTCTGATTCTGTTGGCCACGTCTGCTCTCCATCCATGGGGTCCACCTCAGCCTCCGCATGTAGAGTCTCCCTGCGGGATGGGTCTGCTTTCATTAGCACCCGCACTGGAGTCTCATCTTCACCTCCATCCTGTGGGAAACAGAGATGACTGAGGTCAATGGGAAATATAGTTACGAAGTCCATTATTAAGTAACAGTAACACGAGGCTGGCATGATGTTTACTGTGATGTTTCAATGAATTTTAAAGTAACTTTGACCTACGTGCATGTCAACGTCTCCTCCCTTGCCAAGCTTCGCTGGTCTGGCAGTTGTTAAGTTGAAGGGAAGAGGGTCGGCTGGAGCGTCAATCTGAGTGAGCTGAAAGTCTCCATGTCCACTGATGTGCACTAGTCTGTCAACCTGTAGAGGACGGCCACGGATATACCCAGAAACACAGAGGGTGCCCAGGCCAGTGGGTCCACCACCTGTCCCCTCAGTGGAGCTGTTGGGTGTAAAAGTAACGTGCTGAGCCAAAAGATGGGAACGTCTGGAGCGGAAGCCGAGCTTTCTCTGTCTCTGAGTGCCCAGGTGTCTGAGTAGTAGAGTGGCATCCTGCTCCGAATCCAGAGGGAAGAGACGAGCATCAGGAAAACGGATCTCAGTGATCTTTGACAGAGCTCTCCTGGAGTCAACCCTCTTCTTCACAGCAAGATCAGACACACCCTGACACACAAGTGCTGCATGGGGTGAATTAACGGACAAAGACACAAATGCTTAGAAAATATACACCAGAAAGGAAATAATACAAATTGGACTTTATGTGCGCTCAGGTTTAAACCCACCATGGCTGGGGAGGCCCTGGGCAAAGAGGCAGGAGAGACAGTAGTCTCCATAGCTGTCCCAACCTTCAGTAGAGTCCAGCACGAATACAAGGCTATCTGCAATCTTAGCCACATCCAGCAGGGAGTGCATGTCAGCTGTCCAAACAAACCATTAGAGAAGCTTCAGAATGGGACAAAGAATGCACATAACAAAGACAAACAACAAAAGGCATATAGCATAGTACATTCTATAATAACAATTAGCATTAGACCATTTACTTGAATCAATGCAAACAGACCCAACCTCTGTAAGTATAAAACACAGTGAGGCATTTTATTTCACAGTCTCTAGGGCTGCCTTATTGTCCAAAGTTTCTGCACTGAGTTTATGGAGTGCATATTTTTTAATAGGCCACAGTAAGCTTGCCTTGCTCTTGAAAGAAAAAGAATCAATTCTAGGGGAAATACACTGCCATTGTAAATTGTGTTTTGTATTGATATTTGAAAAACTAATGAATACATTCATTAAAAACAGTTTTAGTCACATCACTGATGTATGCAACACTATTTGTGCAAGAATGAACTGCATGTAACTCAAGTTAATTGAAATTTCAGATTAATTTTTTGAAGCAACATCTGCTCCGTATCACTCAATACTCACCCGTGCTCTGGCTTAGAAAGGTGAACCTTTGTTTAAATCGAGGCAGAATCAGCCCAAAACTATCACTGATGCCACTGATGCACCGATCCTGATGCACGACACCCCCAGCACCCTCCCCTCGCAGCAGTTTGGTAATAGCACCAGCGTCGACTCCAGCATGGAGGGACACCACGGCGACCAAATGAGGGGGACCGTCCCTGCTGCCCAGACGTCGCTTTTCTGTCAGGACCTAAAAAGACAAGGGACATGGAAACTCTACAGCACCCATCAACAATTCAAACATGATTATTTTGCATGTGAAATCAAATTTACCATGTCTTTCTTATTCCTGCGTAGCTGGTTGGCTTTGTTCCTTCTGTCCATCTTCTTTTGCTCCTTCCTCTGTTTTTTGGTGAGAGCTGTCACCGACACTCTCCCTTGGAGAAAGTTCAACACAGGGATTTATTACCATGTTGTGCAAGATGTGCAAAGTGAAGTGGTAAATATTTATGGAGGTGCACACTTTCAAATGCAGATTTGGATCCTTTATTGAGCAAACTTCATAGTATTTGTACTGTATTGCAAAAGAATGTCCCAACTTTTGACAGTACAATGATGGATGTTTTAAATTGTGCAAAACGGCAACTAATAAAAGTTATTTTGCTTTTTCTTGCTGTTCTTTCTGGCACATTATTGTAAGTATGAAGCCAACTACCATTTGTATGCCCAGTTTAATTTACAATTGTGTTGTAAGAAAGCTGTGCTAACAAACCATAACCTTGCTGCTTAGAAAAGACCTTCTAGTACAATATATTGTCATGTGCCTTCTGCAAGTAAACACAGGTGTTAGTTTGCATTCTGCTTATGATGCAAACCCATTATATCAAATAGTATCAGTTTGTATAATTCAACATTTTAACTGCTGTCGGTACACTGCAACTATAAGCTGTCAATAAATCTGCAGTAGATGAATAGTGTGTGAACAAGATATTCACATGGCTTTCTGTAGGCTATTGAAGTTACGATTTATGTCTACAATATTTTGCTGCTTTAAAACATACATTGGGTGGTCAATATATTAAAAACACCTGTCGAGTTCAGTGCAATCCAATACAACAGCCCTGCAACACAGACAGCCTCTACTTTGTGAGGATACTGAGGTTACATTGATTCTTCTTAGTGTAACTATTGATTCAATGGATGCCATAATTTGTTTTGTCATTGCTCTAATGGACTCCATTACACTGTACAGAAATTAAATAAATTACTAAAATATACACATAATCAGCCATTGAGGCTTCTCCGTATAGACCTCTCTGCACATCCTTTGTGGAACTTACACGTTTTAAATATCTCTCCTATTTGCTGCTGTTATTTTTTGTCTGACAGACTGTCAGTTCAATAGGATGAAATAATAATAATAGATAATAGAAATAATACTGAAAATATATGTCCATGCCCTTATTTATAGAGTGTATCCCTTTGAGTTGTAACAGCTTCTCAACTGAATATGTGTATGTTTGACAAAATCACCTAACATGTAATTGAATGGTAGTATTAGTTTGCAGTGCTAGTGTACTAGGTGGCATTGCATTTAGAAGAAGAAGAAGAAGAAGAAGAAGAAGAAGATATACTTTATTGATCCTCTATGGGGAAATTGTTTTTTTTTTAGATTTATAGTATATACTGATGCAAAATATAATGTAATTATCTGATCATAACACAATAACTGTATATACATCTTGAGGTATGAAAACCTCTAATAAACATGTTGACAACAATCTCGCCCTTTAGCTCAGGAGGTATCTGTGAGCCCTGATTGGTTCTCCAGTGTTTTAAATGGTCAGAGGTAAACTGGAGAAAGCTGTAACCCCACCACCACCAGTTCAGCTAACTTACTAATGCCAAGCGAGACTTGCGTTTCTTTTTTTTTTTTTTTACAATGTGAAAAAAGACTTCAGAAATAAGTAACACATTTTCTACGCCACCTTTAAAACTCAACACGTGTGTCTGCAGAGTGATCCCAGCCGCAAGCTGGCACAACACAGCTAACACCACTTGTTAAGTAACCCTTCATAACTGACCACGACTTACCTTTGTTGTCTCTCTCAATTTCACCTTTCGTCCGGTGCTTGCCATGTTTGTGTCCTTTATTTTTCTGCTTGTATACGCCGGCTCTGTGGCCCTGTTGTTTTTCCCCATTAGCAGCCATTTTCACCATGTGGGAAAGACAGGCGATCTACTTCCGCACTCGCACCGGCGTCATCGGGCGTCATGACACAGGCGTGTGTCGTCAGACGCTCCGGACAGTTTTTTTTCCTTCAAAATAAAAGCGTATGTTATGATCATTAACAGTATGTGTGAACGTTATATTTGTGTTATAGATTTTCAATTTGCATTTCAATTTGCATTTCTTAATACTACATTATATAACTGTATTCACTGCGTGCAATTTAAGCACTAGCCAAGGAGAACGAGAGCCTAACTTATTCTATATAAGCCACATTAGATTACAATATCCTTAAGAAACACACATTGACTGCATATATTCTTTCACTGAGATAAGAACAAAAGTTTTCATATTCAGTACAATATAAATACAGTACAATTGTGTATAAAACAAGTACTTTTCTATATTATGTGTGAGCTTTGCATGTTTTTACTCATCTTTCATCATCCTGATATTTAATCCTATTTCCCATAATTCTATAATGATTAATCATCTTTCCAATTATTCAGTTCTAGCGTTCACAAGAGTAGGATGAGGAGATGTAGAGTTGGAGGCAGGAAAAGAAAATGAAGGAACTCCTGATACAATGACTTCTGCCAAAATTCAGCTGGCAGCTCCTGCACCTGAATGTTTACTCAGTGAATCAGTTCCTGTCAAAGAAGCATCCTTAAGTTACTTGGTGCCTTTGTTTTACCTTCATGCAGTATAAAGTCTGATGGTTTTCACTATTTTAGAGAAAATATAAGGCCAATTTGCTTATTTTAAAATTAATGTAAGTGACAGTTATCCCAATATAGCCTGGGTGATGACATAACACACATGAAAATGTAATGAATGTTTTGGTCAGGACTAATGGGCTTAAAACAACTAAATTCACTACTGCTGTGCAACATACATGCAGTAGTGAATGGCAAAGCAATGCAGCACCCTCTACTCGCATTCAAGCAGATCCAAAAGCCCTCTAAGAGCCAACTTGAGCAGAACTTTGCCATTTGTTGGCTTTGCAACAGACAGGTTAGTGTACAGGCTGAGTAGCCATGCAGATATGGTTAGAGAGAGTTTGAACTTGAAGGAGAGGCTACAGGGGTTTCCTCTGTACACTGTTACACCATACACAAGCCCACCAAATGCAGAGAATGCATTAGTAGACAATAGTTGATTGTCGGCCTGCTGATGAAGGAATCTTTAAGTATGATGTAAGTACCATCCATGCACCCCTGGAAGTTATTACTCAATTAATGGAAATTATGTTACATTTATGCTGCTAATTCTCATAAACTTTTTCGAAACAATCGACTATTGACTTTTAATATTTTCTTATCTGAAGAAGTATTGATCCCCAATGGGGAAATTATTTTTTCACTCAATGAAATACAATCGCACACACACAGAGCTTATAGACATGCAAATGTAAAAGAGGGTGGAGTGAAAGGATGTCATGTAGCGGTGCTCCAGGAGCAGGGAGGTGCTAGGTGCCTTGCTCAAGGGCAACTTAGCTGCGCACAGGAGGTGGGACTGGCACCTCTTCAGCTACCACACTCCATACTGTGGTCTGTGCTGGACTTGAAGCGATGACCCTCAAGTTCCATAACCTAGTCCCTAAGGATGAGCTACTGCCACTCCTTAAGATCATGGCTTGTGGTTCAAAATGCTTGCAATGTATCTGGTTTACATCCTCAGGAAAAATACAGTGGAAGGCCATGAGATGCACTATTGGCCTTTGGAAAACAAGCCATACTGTTTGTAGACTACTTGCACTCTTATTGCTTTATTGCCTGGTGTGGACCATTAAAGTATTATCTTGTAAGTGTGTGTATGTGTTTTGATTTGTGTTGTCATGGGCCAGAACAGGATGACAGAAAAATGTGCTTAGGGACTTTTTTTGCAGAGGTCAAGTAAACTGATATGTACTGCAAAGCTTATTCAGTGAGTATGCATTTATTAAAATGTGTTCATAATCATTAAGACCTAAAATAGTAAATTTGAAAGACATTACTTTCACAAGCACAATTAGAGAATACAACACACAAAGCAGTACTTTATTATCATTAAAATATGTTAAGCTGCAACATTGGCAAATAATCGTGTACATCCATCAATACTACTATTGGCCAGCCTTGGTATATTATATATACAGCATGTATATATATACATTATATATATACATTATGTACAGTATATACTGTATATGTGTATATGTATATGTGTGTGTGTGTGTGTGTACGTACATTCATTCATTCCTGGTCCTAATTCCTAAAGATGTTGGTAATCCCCTGAACTTTTATTCTTTGCAAACACATCAAAAATATTTATGAACCAAAATACTGGGTTAGATTAGATTCAACTTTATTGTCATTGCACAAAGTACAAGTACTAGACAACGAAATACAGCTAAGCATCTAACCAGAAGTGCAAAGCAGTAAAATGGAGAGTAATGTGCATATGTAGAGGGATATATTAAAACAAATAACATTATAGATATATACAGTATATAAATATACTAGCAGGGTATATACAGTATGAACAGCATTCAGCACAGAATGTGAAGTGAATACATTAAGATATATACAGCTATTAAGTTAAGGTATTTACAGTATGAGGGTCATTGCTGTGCGGAAATATGCTACTCATATTTATGGTACCCGTAGAATGAATTATTATGTTTTTGATGAACCCTTGACCTGTTCTCTGGTGCCACTTTAAATAAGAAAAAATCCACTTACTCATAAGAAATAAATAGCCAGTAATAAATAAGTAATTTAGATTTTGGGCAACCTGTGAAATTCACCTTTATGCCACCTTCAACAGACTCACTACAGTAGGTGTGACTATGAGTAATTTACAACATGTGATAAACTAGGTCACCTTAATAATAAAAATCTAATTACAATTCATGAAAGCCTTTCCCATTAATATATATATATATATATATACATAAATATATTTCCCTGTTCTGTGGTGTAGTCATTTAAGTCAGACACAAGTAGCCAGTAAATAAAAAACTATGAGGAAACACTATACCATAAATTAATATAGGGTTTTGTAACAGTTCAGTATTTACTCTCCTCTAATTATGTCTCCGCCTCTGGATGTTTTTGGGTCAGAGAGAGTTTACTGCAACTACAGCAGGCAGGGCGGAACTGCTGGTTGCAGTATGTGGAAGGAAGACGGACAACCAGGCAGCCAGAGTTTACTGCTCAATTAAAACAGCTAAGTTAATACCATGCCAGTGTGCTAAGTTAAATCCCAATTTTGTCCCCCGGACGACATCGCGGATACTATCGCGGCTTGTTTCTGGGTGTTTTTGTGAGGGGTTTGAACTTCCCTCACATTCTCCCGTAACGTATTTTCACGAAGGGAGGCGGCGGTGGAGCACTCGGCAGCCATCTTTGGACCTGCCTGGGAGTGGGATCCGACTATCCTGGCACCCCAGTTACTTCGAGGGTGGGGATTTTTTTTAACCTAGAATAATTCCCCCCAAATCTGCGTGTTATACTCGACTGACAGCGTTAGGAACCTCGAGGATTTGGCGCAAGAAACCGCCGCGCCGGGGATGAAACGAGAGGAAGGCTTTTATAATCCCAAACTGTTTTGAAATCCACGACATTGTCTACAGAGCTGAAACCTGGCCTGTCAGGAGACGGTGAGTTTCAGCTAACGTGGCTAGGCTAACTTAGCAAACATCAACATAGGTTAGCCTTTGCTAGTGTAGCAATTTCTGGCAAAAACGACTCGTAAAAGTTGGTTTCGTTTAGGGTCATTCGTGTAGTTGCTCAACCCGTGCACGGAGGAAACACGTCGCGGATATTGCTTTGGGATTGATTGATCATATGACACGTAACTTAGCTTTAGCTCACGTTAAGTTTGGTGTGGAGCTAACATTACAGTCAACGTTGGCTGCTTGTTGGAAGCTCCTGAAATCTCTTAATTAGTTTGCATGCGTTTGATGGTGGTTGTTTATTTTACCATTCAGTCTTTGTTGACAGCTGAAACAGCGACTGGAAAGTGACAACTTTCTGAAATCCCACTCAGGGCTCTCCCTAATCTCACTTGTGTTGCAACTCCAGTGAGGCATTACCTAGCCACAGGTAACTGAGGATGTAACGCAGCAGGCTTGGGCTACTAGTTTACTCCAGAAACAAAAACAACCTTGGTTATTTAATACCAGCACAATAACAGCACTGTGTCCAACTATCCCCACAGTCAAACTCTTGATTAGGCCCAATTGCCATAACACTCAACTAATGTAATATAATGTAGGCCTGTATACATTGACTAAAAGATTACAGCATTTGTTTTTTTTTGTTCTTTGATGTGGGTGGTAAAGAAAAGGGAAAAGGTGGTGGATAACAGTGTGTGATTATGTGGGATTGGACTGCCAAAAGGAAATGACTTTAACTGACCGGCCTCACTGATGAGTTTAAATTGCTTAGTGGTTGCTCATTTTTTTGGGGAAAGATCTCTTTATCTTTATGATACGAACGCTTTAAAACCCCTCTTTCACTGTGTCAAGTCAAGTATGGCATTGCTGCGACGTCTAAGACAGACAGATAATCACTAGTCAAAAAGCTCACCAGGGCCCCTTCCTACCTCCCTATAGCTGTGCGAACAGGAAATGCTGAGAAATGCAGCGCAGTGAGGACATACATTGGGAATTCCAGCCCTCCAGCTTTGTTGTCCTGTCCTGCTGCATTCTTGTGTGTGTGTGTGTGTGTGTGTGTGTTGGAACGCAAGGGTGTTTTATGAAGGTATTGGTTCTCATCACTCACTTTTGTGCTCACGTGTCCACAGTTGAAAATGCCATCATGGGATATGACAACAGGACTCATTCATGAGCAACAATGTAGTAAAGGACAATGGCAATAAAGAGGCACAGTCCCACATGGTAATGAGGCTTTATTTCAGGGCAGTGGCTGCATCTGTGTGGAATAGTGAGTTGTTCAGTGTTGTTGTGAGACAAAAGATGTCTGCTTGAACTGGGGGCTGTTTCTCCCAGGCTGGGAAAGAAGTCTTGTGACTCTAGCGTCAGCTCTGCATCTGTTTGCAGCTGATCATCTGAGCCACATGGACTCAGTAAACTTTCCTCAGTGATCTTTTACAATCTACATCTGTATTACAGCAGTACAGCTGTACAATGAGCTGTTTAATAGGTAGCAAGTAGTTCAAAGTTTAACCCTGACAGTGGAGTTGTGGACCTGATGCTATATTCTGTCCATTTATGTCATTTTAAAGGATGAGTTAACCTAAAATTAAAAAAACAAAACGGATGTGAAAAAGGACACGTCATGTCTCTAACGGTATCTAGTCGGGCAGTTTTGGTTTTACACTGTGAGCGTTAGAGATAAGGATGATCCACACACCCTACTACATACTACTTAAAAACAGTTGACAATGACAACTGCTTCCAATAAGGTTGATAGATTAGTACCAAGGACATTATTTTTTTTTAAAGGCATGCTGTTTTTTTCAAATGTAATTTTTCCAACACAGTGAGCACCGCAAATGAATTATCTTGTATTGCTGTGGATATCTCCAAACTAGGGCAAATAAAACCAGAGATAGCTGAACCCTTTTAATCACTTGTAGGAAGGTTATATGGACTGTGTTTGGTATGTTTGAGAATGTGTGTTTACCAAGTACTTACTGGTTTAACAAGTAGTCCCATCACTGGAATGCTTTGTTTCAGTTCAGGTATCCAGCTCACCGCAAAGCAGCGCGCTGTTGCCTCGGTTTCCTCGTTGGAGGTGGAGACCGTCGGCTGCGAGACGGCTCTTTGTATCCTCCTCACATCCGTCTGTCTACATACTAGTCACTGAAGGTGTGAGGGGAGGTTGTCAGGACGCAGCCCACTGATTTCCTTACTGTAGGTGCTGTTACTATGGAAACAGAAGACCTATCTCTTGGTACCTCAGGATTTCCAGCCGGCCATTCTCCACATTTGCTCCTGACATCATGGTTCAGTTCGTGTTTTTGCGTAGCCTTCTCTGCAGCATGTGTGTACAGTTAGACAGCTGTTTTAGACAGATGTTTCCCTTACCTGTTGTTTCACATTGTCTCTCACTGTAACTAGCAAGCCCTGTAATTTATACTGGGCACATGAATACATTATACCCCTCTGCTGCTGTTGTTTTTTTGTTTTTGTTTTTTTTCTGTGCACTCATTCTTGTTTTTCCTTGTGCCTTTAGCTCTGAACACATATGAGACCACTGTCCTGCAGATGAGCCATCGGTGGGGGCTTTCAAGTCGCTGTCGCAGACCCAGATAGTTCCTGGCGGCAGCGGCATTGCCCCCCACTCCCCATTATGCCCAACAGCAGTCGGGCGGGGAGCCTGAAGGACCCCGAAGTTGCTGATCTCTTCTTCAAGGAGGACCCAGAAAAGCTCTATGCAGATCTGCGAGAGATCGGGCATGGCAGCTTTGGCGCTGTATATTTTGTGAGTATTTCATGATATAAGACTGTGGTCCAAGCCGAAGGCCATGTTCAGTCTGACGCAAAAATTCCTCCCCTTTCAGTTCAGTGAGGTCACTTTTTTGGCACATAAGGAGTCCAGCATATAATAATTACAGGTCATCAGGGCAGAAAGTTAAGCTATTCTCAGTTCATTTTCAAGCACACGTTTCTGGTATAACTTTGTAAACGAGAATTTCATAAATAAATGGTTTACTTCAGGATCGTTGTTACAGAGAATGCTGTCACATTACTTTCCTGAAAATTAGGAAAATCCTGTCTCATGGTACTATAAACCACTACCAAAAATGTGCAGTATGAATGTGTTTCCGCCTGTCAAGTCTATACAGAATAGGCTTTAAGACTGGGGCTTTGTAGCCTTGAAGATCATGGGAATGATATTGATAAATCATTTGGTTTTGTGTTGGAGAGCACCACAAAGGCCTTTAGATCCTTTTAAACAAATCAGAATATTTCTGAATGGTTCTAAAAATGCAGGATTGTTTTAGCAACACTGTCTCATGGTGTCAGCCTTGACTAACAGCCAACTATTGAGCATGCAATTATTACAGAAAACAAATCAATTAATGTGATCTTTTGTGATTGTGATGGTGTATTTTTGTCTCACTGAAAATGTGCTATTTTGGTTCTGACTTTGTGCTTTTGCACTAAGATGGATTATATTGTCTCTGAAATGTGGACAGAATGCTCACGCAGTTAGAGGCATTCATTGTTTATCTCAGTCAGAGAATTGTATCACAAGTCCCAATTCGTTGTTACACAATGCCATGTTGCCCCAACAGCTGCATAGTCTGAATTCTAATGCGGATCATGGAGTTGAGTCTCTAATACGCTGTGTTGTCATCATGGTTGGGTCAATGAGGTCACATACAGTGATTGTCCATTTAAAGGTCCAGTGTGTAACATTTAGTAGGATCTACTGGCAGAAACTGAATATAATTTTCATTGGTATGTTTTTATTAGTGTAAAGTCACCTGAAAACAAGAAATTAAATTGAGCCATTTTATTTATTTTGTGAGTGGATCATCTGCTATGGAGGCCACCATGCTGAATCAGCATGTTTCTAACGCTGGCTCTATATAGGGCCTTAAGTCTTAAGTTTTTTGCGAGTTTCACGGCCACCATAGTTTCTCCTACAGGCTTTGAAGGCTGAGCTGTATTGAAATCCGCAACTTCACCGCTAGATGCTTTAATCCTACACACTGGTCCTTTAATGATGTATAAATTGGTTAAGTTATGAAGTGAAGATGACCATCACACCAACATGTAATGTGCTTATCATTCAGGCACGGGATGTGCGGACAAATGAGGTGGTGGCCATCAAGAAGATGTCATATAGTGGAAAGCAGTCCACTGAGGTATGATGGCTTTCACTAACTTATATCAAGTTAACATGCAATTGTTACCATGTTTATGGTACCATGTTTACCAATGTTGTTTTGTTTTATTATTGTTATAGTCCTCTGATTCTTTTTTTTTAAACTATTTTCACAGAAATGGCAAGACATTATCAAGGAAGTGAAATTCTTGCAGAGAATACAACACCCAAACAGCATAGAGTACAAAGGATGTTACCTGCGAGAGCACACTGCCTGGGTAAGCTTCTTCATGAGAGTGTCAGAGGAGATGATGACTAGAATGTATTAAACAAAACACATTCACACAAAACACTCTGTTTCCTTACAGCTGGTAATGGAGTATTGCCTAGGCTCTGCTTCAGATTTGTTAGAAGGTGAGTCGAAAACTTTTGAACTCCTGCTCATTGCTTGAGGCAGCGTGACTACAAGCAGAGATGGCAGTCGGCCTTTTCAGATTTATCCGTGTCACTTTTTTCGTGGTTTTCATCGCTGTTGGTGAATGTATTCCCTCCAGTTCACAAGAAACCCCTGCAAGAAGTTGAAATAGCTGCAATTACCCATGGTGCTCTTCAAGGGTTGGCTTATCTTCACTCCCACAACATGATTCACCGGTGAGTGTTTCAAGTGTTTGGGAGCATGCTGGGCATTAAGTGTTTATGCTCTCTGGCATTCTGTCTTCTGTGTGGAGCTGTAATCATTTCCTCATATGTGTTTGACAGAGATATCAAGGCAGGAAACGTTTTGCTGACAGAGCCAGGGCAGGTAAAACTAGCAGATTTTGGTTCTGCCTCCATTGCCTGTCCTGCCAACTCCTTTGTTGGGACTCCATATTGGTAAGATACAAAACATGCATCATAAAGATTTCTTTTCCTTAAAATTTCCATTTACATATTTTTTTGCGCTGAATTTGTGTGTTTTCTCAGGATGGCCCCAGAAGTAATTTTAGCTATGGATGAGGGACAGTATGATGGAAAGGTGGACATTTGGTCTTTGGGAATAACCTGCATCGAATTAGGTACGGTCACTGTTGTCTTTTGCCTTCTACAGATCTAAGATTTAGACCTCATTTGTTGTAGCATTGCTTGTATCCAAATCCATCTCTTTTTACACTTTTACAAACATTATATTGACAGCATTAATTGTGCTCACTTAGTCAGGCAATAACTGAATAATGTTGCTCTTTCTTCCTCTCATAATTACATTTTTCTTCACAACATCCTGACTCCTTGATGTAACCTGCTACTTGGTTTGTAGCTGAGAGGAAGCCTCCATTGTTCAACATGAATGCAATGAGTGCCTTATATCATATAGCACAGAATGAGAGCCCCATGCTGCAGTCTAGTGAATGGTGAGTTCAGAATTAAATTTATAACAGCTGGTGTATTGTTTCTTTTTCAGTCCATAAAATAAGTACAATTCTATCCTTTTTCCACATTTCATCTCTCAACTTTAGGACGGATTATTTCCGGAACTTTGTAGATTCTTGCCTTCAGAAATTTCCCCAGGATAGGCCGAACTCGGAGGAGCTCTTAAAGGTAAGAATCAAAACTTTCCTATGACGGACTTATGTTATGTTATGTTTTATAGTTAATCCCTCTAACCACAATAGAATTCAGGATTTTAATGCAAGAGGTCTCTGCTGTGTTCTTCCTCCAGCATGCATTTGTCCAGCGTGAGCGACCAGAATCTGTTCTAATAGATCTAATAAGTCGGACTAAGGATGCAGTACGGGAGCTGGACAATCTGCAGTATCGTAAAATGAAGAAGATCTTGTTTCAGGAAGCCCACAATGGCCCCACGACTGAGGCACAAGATGAAGAGGAGGTCTGTCATGTGACTCTTTCAGCTGCTGCTAGCGTGCAATTCAGTGACATTTCCTTTAATCTCCAGATTAGCGTGGTTGTATTTCATAGTATTGTGTCATGCCATGTTATTAGAGAGTATTGTTGTGATGTTGTTACTGTGTTGTGTGTTATTGTTAGGAGCCAGAACACAGTGTGGGTAGAACGGGTACAGTGAACAGCGTGGGGAGCAACCAATCCATACCCAGTATGTCAATCAGTGCCAGTTCCCAGAGCAGCTCTGTGAACAGTCTAACAGATGCAGGTGATGACAAGAGTGAGGTGGACATGGAGGGAGACCACACAGTCATGTCCAACAGCTCTGTGATACACCTAAAACCGGTAAGAAGTTAGCTTCCGGTCTGACCTGCACCTATGTCTCTTTATATGGTGTTCACTGTTTGGTTTTGATTATACTAAGTCATTATTATTACACCATTCTATTAATTAATTTAAGTACAGCATTAGACATAAATTTGATTTATTTACAGTATCTTGTTCTGCTGTTTACATGTGTGCAATTATACTTATCTTTCAGGAGGAAGAGACCTATAATGAAGAGTCAGAACCTCACACCCGGCCAACTGAGCCACAGTCCCCGCCAGCACACACTCCACGGCCAAAAAGGAACCGCGAGCACTTTGCTACTATACGCACAGCCTCAGTGGTAATAACACAGTTGTTGTATTTGCTTATCAAATAAGAAGAAGGCTAAAATAACCACTTGATGACTAAAATAAATGCTTGTATATCTGCTAGACATTTTCCACATCCATGGATTGTTCAAAGGCAAAAATCTTTTGGCATATTGTCCTGATCAATGAATGTTTTTGCTTTAAGGCTACAAAGTAGGAAGTTTGTATGTAATCAAGAGCAGAACCATGACCCAGAAACATTTATGCTCTTGGATATGCACTTTAAAAATCATTTTCCATTTCCCCTTATTGTCTTAAATACCTCACTTTTTTCTTATACACATAGTAGCCTCCCATATATATTCTCTCAGAAACGTGTTCTTTCCACTCTCAACCATGTAAAGAGAATCTGTGTCTTGTGTTTGCCAGCTCACTCGTCAGATTAAGGAGCATGAACAGGATTCTGAGTTAAGGGAGCAGATATTGGGCTACAAGCGCATGAGGCGGCAGCACCAGAAACAGCTGATGGCTTTGGAAAACAAGCTGAAGGCTGAGATGGATGAGCACAGACTCCGTCTGGACAAGGAGCTGGAAAACCAAAGGAATAGCTTTGCCCAGGAGATGGAGAAACTGATCAAGAAGCACCAGGCGTCCATGGAGAAAGATGTATGCTTTCAACTCATTTATATGTTCACAAAAAACAATGGCTATTTTTTCTGACAGCAAACTGATTATGATGTGTATTTTTTCATCAGGCAAAAACGTTTAGCAACGATGAAAAGAAGTTCCAACAACATATTCAGAGTCAGCAGAAGAAAGAGCTCAACAGCTTCCTAGAATCCCAGAAACGAGAGTACAAACTTCGCAAGGAACAACTCAAAGAGGTAGGAGGATCAATTTCTTCCTGCCCCATACATAAGTCTCCAGAGCTGTGCTGTTCAGTTCACTTACTGTCAGGAAATGGACGTCAATCAGTGCTATGAAATCTATTTTGCTAGTATTGACCTGTAATCTTTCTTCTTTAAAGGAGTTGAATGAAAACCAGTCAACACCCAAGAAAGAAAAGCAGGAGTGGTTGTCCAAGCAGAAAGAGAACTTCCAACACTACCAAGCAGAGGAAGAGGCCAACTTACAGCGCAGACAGAGGCAGTATCTGGAGCTGGAGTGTCGCAGGTTCAAACGGAGGATCTTGATCGCTCGTCACAATATTGAACAGGACTTAGTGCGAGAGGTTAGAACTCCGTCTCTTACATTGTACCTCTGCATCTCAAATGTTACAAATAACGAGTGATATATTAGCAAGCTAAAATAGAGTCATCTTTGGTGTCTGACAGTCTAATTTGTCTGTTTGTGTCTCTCCATGTGCACACAATTAGGAGCTAAACAAGCGTCAGACCCAGAAGGACTTGGAACATGCCATGCTTCTCCGGCACCATGAGTCCATGCAAGAGCTGGAGTTCCGCCAGCTCAACACCATCCAAAAGACGAGGGCTGAGCTGATTCGCCTGCAGCACCAGACGGAGCTCACCAATCAGCAGGAGTACAACAAGAGGAGGGAGAGGGAACTTCGACGCAAACACGTTATGGAGGTTCGCCAGCAACCCAAGAGCCTCAAGGTGAGAATGCATGTACATTGAAAAATCAGTAGATACTCTCATTTCAATATTAATGAGTATATGTAGCTCTAGGTACTTCTAGGATCTGCCTAATATGCAAATCACTATTTGTCAGGCGGACCTGTTTTTAATCTTAAATAAGCTTAGGTGTGCTGAAACTTTGATAGAATAAAATGTATAGTAAAAAGTCTGCATCACAGTTAAAGGTGTGTGGCTTTCACCTCCCCTTTGGTTAGGCAGTTTTAACATAGAATTGAATCGAAGTTGACCCATGTATATTACAGTGCAGACCTAATGTAGATGTATTGTGTAATGCTTGCTTTTAAATATAAAGAAATGTATAATATGACAATTTTCTGTAGTCCAAAGAGCTACAGATCAAGAAGCAGTTCCAGGACACATGTAAGATTCAGACCAGGCAGTACAAAGCACTGAGGAACCATCTGTTGGAGACCACACCAAAGTCAGAGCACAAGGCTGTCCTTAAACGGCTGAAGCAGGAGCAACACCGCAAACTTGCCATCTTGGCAGAGCAGTATGACCACTCCATCAATGAGATGCTTTCCACTCAGGCGGTGAGTCTAGCAATGCCAAGAATGTAGAATCCAAATGTTGTGAAGTAAGACCATTAAGGTGCCACCAAGGTTTTGCAACCTTTTAGAAGATGTGTCACATCAGTTATGGTTGTGTATTTATGTTACTCATTGGATTCTGATCTTCTCTCTGTCTTTAGCTACGTCTGGATGAGACTCAGGAGGCTCAGTGCCAAGGCCTACGAATGCAGCTACAGCAGGAGCTGGAGCTTCTCAACGCCTACCAGAGCAAGATCAAAATGCAGACAGATGCCCAGCATGACCGTGAGAGGAAGGACATGGAGCAGAGGGTGTCACTCCGAAGGGCCCTGCTGGAACAGAAGGTTTTTTTCTCTATTAATCATTCTCATGTGAAGATTCATATCGGTCTGACTGCATGATTATTGACAAAATTTGAGGTTTACAGATACTTAGCCTAGCACACACACACAGGCTTTCAGTTATTAAACTAAGTGAAAACACCTGTGGATATGTATCATGGGTGCGCCTTTAACTAAACGATAAGCTGATATTTTGACTTGTCATAGTGGCAAAAAGTGCAGTTGTTACTAATAACATTAACAATGTTATATTCAAGTGCCCCAGAGAGCCAAGCAAGAGCCAGCATGAACAATACCAGGACCTTGAAACTGAAGCGGCTAAATGAAATACAACCATCATTGATATTCTTATTGATTTACAATGGATGCAAGTTTAATGAGCGACTTAATTATCTGTTGTCTATTTAGGAAATAGCACCACTCTCTGATATTGAATTGTGTTCACACAAAAGCAGAGAAAATCATCCCTTTCTATTCCAAAAAGCCAGTTTTGTAACTTTTGTCATGTCATGGTTTGGATTGCTTTGACGGAGACCAGTAAAACACAGTGCAGTTAAATGTATCTGCTAAATCTGAACATGATTATTTCCTAACTTTTTAACATTTTTCTGTAGATTGAGGAGGAGATGTTGTCCTTGCAAAATGAACGCTTGGAGCGAATTCGGAGCCTGCTGGAACGTCAAGCCAGAGAAGAAGAGGCTTTTGACTCGGAGAGTATGCGCCTGGGCTTCAGCAACATGGTGCTATCAAACATCTCCCCAGAGGGCCTCAGCCATAGCTTTCCCGGGGCTCCAGGAAGTTGGAGTCACCGTCAGCAACAGCACCCGCCTGGGAGCGGTCAAGGGCCACACTGGGGCAGTGGAAGTCTGGGTGCAGCGTCGGGCCACCAAGGCAGCCATCACCACTATCACTCCAGTCCGGGAGGGGCACCTATGCAGCAAGGCTGGGGGCAGGGTATGCAGGGAGGTGGGGGTCCACCGCCGTGGGGCCACTCCTCAGCGGTCTCCCGCAGCAGTGGAGGTGTACAGAACAGCCCCCAAGCAATGGGGAGGACACCCTCGGGAGGACGCAGTGAGCAGGGCATGAGCAGGAGTACCAGTGTCACCTCTCAAATATCTAACGGGTCACACCTCTCCTACACATAGATCCCCCCCATCAGCCCTGGAATCAGAGGTTGAGCACGGAGATGTAGAATCCAACAAAAACAGCAGGACAGGGTATTTGCTGAGCTCTGACGCGCTCTGTCTCTCTCTCTCGCTCTGCAACTCTACACCTCCGTTTCTCCCGTGTACAGATGTGGATGTGTGATGAAATAAATGTTGCTCAGGTCAAAAGGGCTGGAAGAGATGCAGCCCGTCCTCACGGCAGTTTATCGGCACACATACAGATCCTTAAATTTATGTTACATAAGCAATTTGAGTGTCAACACATAATACTCCCATTTGTTTTTATTTACAGCTCTCCTATGGAATTTTAAAGATATATGTTTTGTGCTATTCACAGCCATTGCTCTCATTTTGCACATGAAACACTGTTAAAAAAAAGCTTTTGACATGTGTTAACTATATCCTTAGAAATGTGGTATCAAACAATCACAGTAAATTGATTTTATTTAGAATCCCCCCCCCTTCCTTCACTCAGCTGATTCACATTCAGTTATACACTGGTCAATTCTCTGACGGTGGTTAATAATGCAGCAGACCTAACTAAAGATGCTTTGCTGTTGTAATACCAGCCTGCTGTAATGGTCATTGTTATAAATTAGATACCTCCTTTTTATTCAGTAGTTTAATTTCACCTGATTTTCTGGTCATCAACCAAAATTAGACTGAAATTCAGAGCCAAATAAACAAATCTTAACTGTTTCAGGTGTATGCTACAACACTACTACAGTGCCTTTTAACCTTTTGATTATAGAAATCAGTCTCAGATGTTTATAGTTTAATATTTTAAATTTCATCATCAATTTATAATCGGTGCCAGTGTATGTTTAGTTCAGTCTATTTTAACACCTGGGATTTTAGTTCCAGAGGTCCCAGATACTTTTCTCAGATTATTAATATTCACTGTGCATGCAGTAAAGTTGGTAAAGTCTTATAAATGGAGAGATATAGAAATTTACTTGTGTATATCAGTAACTATATTTTGGGCTTTAGAGTGGTGGAACTCTAGGGGTGAACTTGAAGAAATGTCATTGTTCACATTCACAGGAGGAATTGTGAGGGAAGAAAGGAGACTCATTTGCCTTCAAAAACAATCCTAGTATTGATCTGTTGATTTTTATTAGTGCCTTTTTAAAACTGCTGCCTTTTTCAAAGCACTTTATACAGCTAGATATGTGTAAGATTAATATTTGACTTCTTTTCACAATGCACCTGGTGGATGTTTTGTCGGTACGTATGTAGTTAAGTTGAGGAGTCGAGCTAACCTGTGCTGTGATATTTTTTTTTTTTTTTTTTTGAAGAGCAATTTCCCAAGTACAGACAAGGCCCAAGTGTATGTCAACATACAGTATGTGAGTGAAAGCAGTTTCCTCCTTCCTGCAGCTTTTTGAAACTGTAGCCGTTGTTGGTTCTCCTCTGTGTGTGTTTGTGCTGAATTTCGATCGAACAGAGGATGTGAGGATGCTGCAGTCTTTTTAGATTTGGCTACAGTTTCTAAAACACACTGAACTGAGTAAACTAAAAAGTCCATTATGTGCAGGCGGATAGCTTAAGGTAATTGTCATGACCATGACAGCAGGCTTGGCACTACTAAGAAATCTACAACACTGTTGAGAAATGTTGGGGCCCAGTTAAGTAACACTAAACATTTAAAAGGTGCTAGGTTATAAATGCTACACCATCTCATCAAAACCCAGGAACAAGGGTGATTGAATCAAGCACATGCTCGCATGATGGCATTGTAGCACATGTAAATCTAAAATTGAGTCACGCACACTCTGTGAAAACGGCCAAATGCAAAATAAATGTGGCAAAAAAGCACTTAGGTATTCCTTTGATAGCTTTAGCAGATCCTCTAATATCTGTTTCTCGCTTCTCTCTGGTTTGTGGTTGAAATATCATTGGAGAAGTCGTGCCCTTTTAACCTTTTAACAGCTCCATGTTCAAGTTAGGCTTTTCCATTTCCATATGGAGAAAAGGCCCTTTAAGTATAATGATCCAGAGATAGTAAGGATATATATACTCCCTGAATCACAAAGCTGGAGTTAAATGTTCATATGTGTATATTTTATTAAAGAAAACATTTAAAGACTAAACTCACATTTTAAGAAAATAATTTCTAAAACTAACTTTATTTAACTGACGGACCACACTGATACTAGCAGACCTTTCGCTCTCAGAGTGAAAGTGGTGTTGAGTCTGAACGTAGCTCATTGGAAGATATTCTTGGTTTTGTGTACACAGACAGAATGCCTCATATGCATGTATTTGCTGCCATCTCCTTTAAATGCCACTTATTTAGTCAGCCGGCCATCTCTTGAGCATCATCAATGCAGGTCCCCCCCACACCGCACACATTTGAATCTTTGTCCCCATTCCACACTGATTCAGAGCCACCTTTTCAGATGCTGGCTCTTTCTGAATGTCATACTGTGATATAGTCATGTATCACATTTGAGGACACAAAAACCCTGGGGGTCTTTTTCTTGAATAGGTGGGATTTTAATTTTCCACATGTATATAATCCTACCTAGAAAGTACGCATAATATCAAGTGACATATGGTTTGGTCCCAAAACTCTTTTCTCTCATGCCAAGTGACTAGTTCCAGCTGCTGTAACACTGCAGGTTATATTCATCATTTCTTCTCTGATTTATTGCTATTTAGTTAAAGAAAGGGGAATGTATTTATCATGATCAGAATCTCTTTACCATAAGTCAAAAGCCAAGGCCAAGAGTTTGAATGTCAGGATAATCAGACCTCCCATACATGCCAACCTTAAGTTTGTATGCACAATTTTTGTTCACTTTTATGTCAATGTTGTGTGTGAGGGAGTCTGAATATTGTTGTCAATCATTATCAGTCACAAGACCTTTCCACCAACCTGGATTTTATTTTGTCTTTTCTTTTTTTTTTTAAAAAAAAACCTTGATGTCAAACTTTGTCCTACTGACTGAACGCATATGGGATACTGAATGAGAATCGGCAACGGAAAATGGTGATCCTTTCTATGGTCAAACACTGTGCCATACCTGAGTTGCCAAGCCCAGATACCACTGCATCGTCTCATCTCCATGGTTTTACCTATCATCGGGCTGACAGCATGAAATGTATGAAACCTTAAAACAAAAAACAAGTTGGTTCTAGTCTAGTGGCCAAAGTAAAAAAGGCTTGAAAAGATGATGACAGGCAGATTATGAAAAGAGATTGCATTTCTTTGAAGATGTCAGTATTCTTCTTTGGCACATTACCACTACAACTCATAACCTGTATTAAACTGTATAGATGGTGGAACATGTTACTGAATGTCAGAGATTTTTTTTTTTTTTTTTGAAGATACTACATAAGAGATGGTAAAGTACTAAAAGTGGATTTAAATTGTGTAAAAAGATTCATAAAACAAATAAAATAGGATCAAATTTATTATTTTGTTTGTATTATATTTACCATTGTGTTGGCAGAGGGATATTGAACAGAAATCAGCTGTAATAAAGTAATTTTAGTATAACTCGCCTGGTGTTTTTTTAATTTATTTTTGCACCTCGAGTGTGCAACATGAGTGTACTGTACCATACAAGATATAATATTGATTGCTTGATGAGATTGCAGGATAAAGGACTGATGGGACCTCTGAAAGTCCGAGGACCACAGCTTGGGAATCAACCAACGCTGTAAAGAAGCGGAAGTAAATGCAACGTGATATGTGACGAGCATTGTAAACAAAATGTTTAGCTAGACTGGAAAAGGGATGCCGTCTGCACAGTCTCTGAACTGAGTGAGTAAACAGTCTTTACGACACCAATCAATATTTATTTACTTCGGCCCCAGTTATTGATGTCTGACACATACAACGTCACGTTAGCTGATGAAGCAAACTGCAGTTTGTTCCTCTCGTGGTTTTCACATTTTAAACATTTTGCATTGGTTTTGTTAGGATGCAGTCATTAGCGAATGGGAAAGGTAAAATGTAACGATTAGTTTAATAAGCTACGCGAACAATGAGCTTTAAAAGAAGTCGCTGTTAGCTCGCTACCTGGCTACTTGTAGCAGCTGTCAGGCTAGCAAGCTAACCATCGTTGTCTCTGCAACGAGGATATTATTAACAATATGAATCAATAATATTAACAGTACACGAACTTAAGGAGCGTTAACGTCGTAGTCTGTGATATTATCTCACGTTAGCTAATCTAATTAACTATATTTATTGTAGAATCCGTAATAGTAGACATTTAGGTTAGCTGAGATGTTTGGACACTGATTTGCTCACTTTAGATTTGGACATTTGCATCAATACTTTACATGTAGTTTTTAATCTTGGTTATCAACCAGCAGGTTTAAACAACCCAGGCAACTTCAGTCAGACATTTAAATATTAAAGTGTCAGTGCTGCTAGCTCCCTCCCTCTCAGCACATTTAAAACATGCATCAGAGTTGTTTTAGCTTAGAAACATTACATAACTCTATAATGTCAATGCAACATAATCATTGTATGTATGTCTTGTGTAATTGTAGTTATCCAAATAGTACCTATAGAAGTACAGTATAAGAATCATGAATTAAATAAGCACCATGTTGACTGGCCACATGCACATAAATATGCCCTATTTTTGTATCAATAAAGAAATGAATGCACTAATGCACAGGTGCATAGGAAATCATGCAAAGTAAGGTAGTGAAGTTCAGCATGCTGTCAGCACTGAGTTGATTAAAAAACACCACCAAATTCTGATCATAGACCCAGATCAACAAGATTTGCAACATTTCCCAAAGTGGTTTAATACAACCAGAGATATTAGTGATAATATGAACAGAATAACTTGAATGGCAAAATCTCTGACAGTAAACACATTTATATCATCATCGCCAGACTGTAAAGTAGAAGATTAATACATGAAAAAGGATCTTAATTCCAGAAGGGATCATTTCTTTCTGCTGTATGCCTCCACAGAGCTCCAGGATGTTGTGTGAAGTCTTGCTCTCGTCGCTATGGTTCCTGTTTTTTATCTTCTGGGTCGAGACAATAAGTGTTTGGCTGTTTCTGTCCATGTTCTACCAGGACCGGGCGTTTTACCACTGGGGAGATGGGTAAGAGATTTATGTTCATCATCAGATAAAACAAAAATACTCACCCTATATTAAAGACAAAGTAATTGTCTCACTTATTTATACTAGAGAGAACCAGATTGAGTTGAACTTGCTTTGTGGAACAGGCCCCAGATCTGTGACTTTGTTTTTTCTGCCAACACTTCTTTGTCAGCTACCTTGGAAGTAGAGGGGGAGAGAGGGGGAGAGAGGAGAGTGTTCAAAGTTAAAACATTGCCTCCATTTCCTTGATAGGACCCTAATTTAGACTGTAAGAGTCCTTAAGCCCCTCCTGACCAATGGATGGAAAAACACTTAAGTCCTAATGGGCAATGTCCATCATGGAATCAGTGTTGTGCGTACTCGGTTCATGGGTTAGTGAGCATCAGTTTTTTTTTAATGGAACCATCTTTTTGATGTTACAGGGTATTTGCAGATGATCCTGGGCAGATGCTATACACGTTGAGCAGGTAAGAACTTTAGATCCTTTACCCTGATTGATTGAGTTTATAACATTTTAAAATATGAGCTGTGTGTATTTTAGTGTGCAAGGTTGAATCTCTTGTCTCTCTCCACAGAGTTGATACCCATATACAGACAGAGATGCAGACCTGAGACGGGATCGAGAACTCCACTGAAAGGACTCTCACCAAAGGGCTGTTGCAGTTATGTGACTGACGAACGTTTGATAAAAAGCAGTAGCTGTTTTTCCTTTGCACTGACTGCCTCGCACACTGTTGTGCACAGTCCTTGTTAACATAGATAAATGTAGGCCCACTTTTAATAAAAGGGTGGTGGAGGGTTACAGCATGCGTGAAGGTGCAGATAAGGTATGTAGAGAGGGAGGTTCTTAATGATTGATGTGCTCACACCATCAAATCTAACATTTGTATTTTCACTTTTAAGATTTTGGAGGAGTAGAGTGAATGTAGCAGAAATGCTTGGTTCACAATGGATGAGGAGTTCATTGCATCTTGCTTTTATTTCTTTAAACTCTATTTTAAAACTTGCACAGGTGGTGTAAACATACTGGCGTTCTATGCAACTACAGTTATTGCTTTCTGCAGCTGTATCGGATATCAATAAATCTGTTCTAAGTTAGGCGTACGAATGTTATTAACAATTATCAGATATTCTGGTGTATGTTTGTTGCCACAACCTTTTTTAACGAAGCTAATGAATATTGGAGGTGGTGGAGCCATGTACTTGGGTTTAGATACTCGTCTAAACACAGTAGATAGATGATAAAGAGCTCATAATTTCATTATGGAGTATATTTTTCACACTAACAACCCTCATTTACAGTAGATAAACTAGCAACATGGACAACATTATTTGAGCTTTATTATTACCTTGGAAACTACTTACTTTTCAGAGCTTTCAGTTTCCATCTTGTGGCCTTTATCAGCAGACGGATTTTGCTCTATTGTCATGTATCTCTATCCCGATAGAAAGACCACCTGTTATCACATGAATAAAAATTCCATAATGAGGACACATGATAAAGGCAAATGCTCCTTCTGCTGATGAAGATCACAGTATAGGACTGACAGCCCTGGAATTGGACCTTGTGTTAAGAATATTTTGTCAGAAAGGAGCAATAATAGAAGTTGTGTGTGTGTGTGTGTGTGTGTCTGAAGACAGGAAAATAATAGTGGCGAGAGTCAATCACATAATAGGAAAGTCTCAAAACTTTATGTCAGTGTTATACCCTGTAAATGTAATAAAAGTGAAATTATACTTTTAAAAAATCAAATTATTTTGAAGCGTGTGAGTTTATTATTATTATCAACCAAACATTTTTTGTATTCCCTGCCGATACCTCTGTCGATTAAAGGGTTTACTTTTGAACAAAACCAGCAGGTAGTTTTGGTCTCCTTTTGTACACTTTCGGACAAAGAATGTTGTTTTGTATCATAATGCTAAATTATTTATTTAATTAAATTATCATTATGCATGCCAGGACGCTAGGGGGCGCTCACATCACAGCACACCCTCGGTACCGCCACCGGGTCACCATCCTATCCTGCCGGGTAAAAATAAAAATGCAGTACACATCCTGATTGAAGTGAAGATATCCCGCTTATATGTAGTTCTGCAGGAAAAAAAAACAAAAACAAACAACAACTTATTGTATCGTTTTACTTGGGTCGAGGGGTTTGTTTGTTGATTGTTTGTGCAAACAGTTTGAGCACTTTGTCACAACATGGCTCCAACGATTCAGACACAAGCTCAACGGGAGGACGGCCACAGGTTAGTGCAAACAGGCTCTTACAAGTTCCCTAACCCGACCGGTTGTTTGCATTGGACCGTGTGTGTGAAGGGTAATGTTATGGACTTGATGTTAAAGCAGCAAAGTTCACACTGGCTCATTAGATTGTCCGCTTGTTGTTTGTGTACAACGGGAGCTACCAGTGCTAGTTAGCTACACAAACAAGCACTGTTAACGTCAAGTTGCTAACCTCCTCATTGAGGCGACGTGCTAACCTTGTTGTGTTTGTGTTCATTAACTCGTTCACTTGGATTGGTAAATCAAATCAGTCGCAGTAACTTTAAGTTGATGCAAATCCAATTGCTGCTATTGAATAAATGTTGTGAAAGCTAGCCAAGGTTAGCCAGTCTAGAGGCTAACAAGAACCTACTAATATAATATATAATATAAGTATTAATATATTAACTAATATATTAACCTACTAATATATTAACTAATATATTAACCTACTAATATATTAACTAATATATT